ATGCACAAATAAGGATTAGTTGTATTAACTATACATGTGAATAGCACCCCAACAGTTTTCCTGTGTGACAGTGGTGCATGCAGAACAACTGTTAAACAACAAATTCCAGGTGCTGGCCAAGGACCTGAGACTGTCATAGTCTGATTAGCTCAAGGTCATTTAAAGGCTGTGCAGGAGATCCAGCTTTTGTGGTTGAGAGACCCTGAAGGACTCTCCTGCCGGCTGTCTGTACTGACTTTACCTGAATGTCCAGTTAACCTCTTAGGCAGGGATGCTCTATGCTTTGTTTAGATAGAGGCTGGGCATCCCACATTACCATTATACTCTGGACTTTCCCAACAAACCTCCTTTAAACATCGGAGAAGCGCTGCTTCAGGAGGGAAGACAGTCTGTTCAAATTGTACAGCAGTCCATGGCCCGAATGACCTACATATTACCATGTGGCACAAAGACTCTCCAGGTCCTGATAAAGACTATGAAAAACTTAATTGGATAAATAATAAATAAATAAATAAAAAAGGGGCGCTGCAATGAAGGATGGCACCCGAGGGCGTAGGTTTGATTTGAACTTTGGTAGGGACACTATTGGTCTGGTGTCATTGGTACTATGCATTATGCATGCCTTTCTTTTTTTTATGCTTGATATGAGCATCAGTACTGATGAGAGGAATTCATTGTTTAAAGAGAAAAGGAGCATTTTGCTACATTAATAAACATTTTTAAGCACTACACTAACTAGATGCTGTTTATCAATGTTGGAGTATCACCGGCTCTGATGAATGTGGAATTAGGACTGTTTTCCACTTTGTAAATGATTTCATTTGAACAACTGAGACAGACGGTAAATACAGTACTTTCTTCTGAATATATAGAATCGTGCAGAGTTAAACCCCACTCTTATATTTTTACCTACTATGCTTCATTAAAAATAATAACTTCACTATGAAAGTTGAACATCTGGGCTGTAGTTACTCTGTGTTGCCCATCTCATGTATTTTATCTGTGGCTGAAAACATGAATCAAATTCATTGTTTATTTGCATATTCGTAAAAAAATTTAGTGATTCATCATTAAATGGAGTATAGAGACTCTAACACATAATATACATGTAAAATCTGGCTTTCCCCGACAGAGTAACCCACTTGGATCAGTAATCATACCAAAACTGTAAAATAAATTTATAAACATTTTTGCAAATACGATTATAAAATGTTTTTGTCTGTCAATACTTTCTGTCCGGAGCTCTTCAGGAGGAGATGTTTTGGTTTCACCTGGTTTAATGTCATTAGTAATCTTCTTTACAGAACTTTTGGCTAACCAATTAATCGAAAGAATTAACGATAGACTGATCGATTTACGAAATAATTGTTAGTTGCTGTCCTAATTTCATCGTAACATTGTATTAAACATAAAATTTCTTATTAAATACATGTGAAATGGGGATGACATTCAACGAAACAAACATGTTAATCAGCCAAACTATCTTAAAATCCATAATGGCACCTATATGTGACCAGAACATAAACCAATCCTTCCAAATAAAAAATTCTTTGAATGAGCTGCTATATTGAGTCATGATTTTACTCATTTCTCAAACGGGGGGATTGTAGGATTGATTGAGCATTGAGCATCATTATACAGCATATGGATTTATATTCTATGCAAAAATTTTGTAAAGCATGTCTAATATGTGCTAAACATAATCTTCAAGGAAATTTAAGACCTAAAAAGGTGCTTTCCCTAAACCTATTTATCCTTTCAATTCTGTTTGGTTATAATAGATTTGTTTTCTAAATGGATTGCAAGAAAGTGATAGTTAGATCAGATGAGTAATGAGTAAAATCACTTTCTTAATTATTCTGTGGAACCTGACCGTACTGCTTAGCACTCTAGTAATTCTACTGTGGTACCTGTTATAGAATACACATTTGGTCTCCTTCACCGACCTCCAGAGGAAGTCCATCGTACAAAGGGGGTTGTATTTTTTAGCATACAACCATCTCAAACTGGTGAAGGTTCAACAACTCTGCCGAGAGGTCATAGGAAGTAGACCATTGTGTAAAAAGATTACCCATAGAACACTTTTTGAAGTTTGAACCTAGATGATGTTGTGATTATTCATATTAGTTTTGTCTTTAGCTCTCACTCAGGGCAAGGATTTTTGTTGCCCTCATGATCCAGTTATTTGTAAAAGGGACGTCTATCTCTGCTATAACTCTACTAGAGTAATCAGTTTGGTGACTATTCCTTTTCAAACATTCTCGCAAAGATTTAAACATGACCCGAGAAATTGGCACGGTTATGATTTCTACCTATTTCCTCGCGTAGTTCAAAGAACTCATAATGGTTGGGGAGACGTATTTAGAACCACTGGACAGTGGAAAAAGGGATCATATGGATGGACACCTTTAGCTAAGAAATGGATGAGTAGAATATCAGGGTTCACTGTTAACCATGCCTCCAAAGTTTTCACTATGACAACAAACTCCACAGCAGAACCCCTTGAGAAGGAAGGCTGTTCTTCCTCATTTCTATGTGCACGGTCTAGTGGAACCGATCCATGTTGGCCTTTGTATTTGTTCCCCGTAAATATTACACAAGAAGGAGATGAGATACAAGGGATTCTTACTTCTGCCCAAGGTGAACAGATAAAAATTCAAAATATTAATGGTATGAATTGTTTCGAGTCATCACTGGAATCTCTGGGCAAACAAACAACTGGCTTTTAATGGCAGAACAAGCAGCTAAAACAGTGTCTAATGCTTGTCTTGTGTGTATGGGAGCTAGACCGCTGTTACGTGTGGTTCCTGCTACCATAACTCCTCAATGTCTTCTAAATATAATGAATTATACGGTCCCTACTGATAATTGCACCTATTGGGATAAGATCTATCCCCTGACCAGAGCTGAGAAAAACAACAAACAAAAAAAAAACAAAAAAAAAAAACAATCTTTTTGAAAAAAGTAGCTGTGGCAAATTTCACCTGTGTAAACAGGACCGGAGCGGGCCCAAAACTAGGCACACTAAATGAAACACAATGTGCAAGTATTTTACTGGTATCCACCTTTTTTAAACCTCAATCCCGCAGCGACATCTGGTGGTGGTGTGGAGATGACAAATTGTTTGACAAACTTCCATGTAACACCACTGGATTGTGTGCTGCTGTCACTTTGATTTTACCTGTTTCTGTTACATCACTCACAACGGATGAATTGTTAACGACTGCAAACAGCATTTTACCTCACACAGAGCATACTAGAAGGAGGAGGGCATCTGAAGATGCATGGAGTGGAGATGATCCTACTTATATTGATAGCATTGGTGTACCCAGAGGTGTTCCTGATGAGTATAAACTAGCCAATCAAGTTTCTGCAGGATTTGAATCTTTTTTATGCTGGTGGTGTACTCTAAATAAAAATGTAGACAGAATCAACTACATCCATTATAACGTCCAGAGGCTGGGAAATAAAACAGAACAAGGCTTCTCCGCCGTCCATGAACAATTGTCAGCTACCTCTCTGATGGCTTTCCAGAACCGTATTGCTGTTGACATGTTGTTAGCTGAAAAAGGTGGTGTGTGCTCTATTTTTGGAGATCAGTGTTGCACCTTTATTCCCAACAACACCGCTGCAGATGGCAGCCTCACAAAGGCCCTTGAAGGCCTTCGCTCTCTTAACAGCAAAATGAAAGACCATTCTGGAGTTGACACAAAAATGTGGGATGGATTTGGAGACATTTTTGGTAAATACAAACAATTGGTGCTTTCTATTTTAATGTCTATAGCTGTATTTGCCGCCATCTTGACCTTATGTGGATGTTGTTGTATTCCATGTATTAGAGCGCTGCTAAATAGACTGATTACCAATACAACCCATGAAAGCAGAAATGTATGCCCTCATGCCCACTGAAAAATACCCATCTGATGATGAAGACAGCGCAGAAGATGAGATCTCTTTGCATTTTCCTGACTTTTATCCTAATTCCAATGATATTACCAGTAACCCACCAGTTTAAAGTACCTCTGAGTGTACCCTTTTACAGCTAAAACATGATTTCATAGTTGAAAATCTGAAAAGAAGTAACTACTAAATGATAAAATCAATAGCTTAAAGTGAATAAACAGGGGGGAAATGTTGGATTAATTGTACAAGTTATTCTACTTTAATCATATTATACTTATACATTCATATTTACACATTTGCATATTCCTGTATACTTGTATTAAACAAAGTGTTGAAATGTTTCACTTGCTGTCTTTCTAATGCTTGTTATTAGTGTGTGCAGATGGAGTGCTGGCTGCTCAAGGTCAGCAAGGAGAAAACACGGGGAAATGCACTCACTAACACCGGAGAAAGGAGTGAAAGCTCTTATCTCATGATATTGTATGATGTGATGCAGAACTTCTGGTTCCGACTGGCTTCACCCTTCCCCCTCCCCTTAGCAGTCGGAACCACATTGTAGCCAGGGCGTTTCCTTAATAAAAGCTTGGTAGAGCGGAGACTTTTTCAGAGTGGTTTGGAGAATTGTAACTGAACAGTCTCTGATCACTCTCCTTGCAAGTAAATCATACTAAAATTCTCTGTGTCTTCCTTTGTACAGGTTACTGCATAAAATGTTTGGTGTTTAAACCTAACATCCATGAACAAATTAAGAAGGTCATCTATGACCATGGCACGCCGGACATGTGCATACCTTGGTTCTTTGGGATGTACTACACCTCCAGTAGAAGACTGTAATGCATCATTTTCTGTTGAAGGGATCATGTGTAATACAGCTGTTTGTGGAGCCTGGAACATAACATGAACAGTACATTTTAGTTGTCATATTCTTCATAACATAACCAAGAGTTCAAAAAGAAATAGGATATACATTATAATTTTAAAAATCTTTTGTTTCATTATACAAAGAACTCTAAATTTTATGGAAGGTTGTCAAAACAAAATGAAAAGCCTTATAAAACTAATTTAGGAACTTCGTGACATTACATAGGTGTAATCTTATTTTTATTAAAGCAAACAAATCATATACAGAAGCAAATGAAACCTTAACACAAAACACTTACTTCTGAAACGTTTCCAGCTTCCATCTCAGGATGACTGTCTATCATGGGAAGCGTAGAAGCAAGCTCACCATCACCATCATCTGACCTTGACCCTATTTGAACTACTCCAGAATCCTCCATCTCATCCAGACCATTAACGCTGTTGAAGTTGGCCATCACTGTTTCGGTTTCTTGCATTACCACTGGGTTTTCCATACTATGAATTCCATAGAAATACTCAGTTTCCTGGTTTGAAGGACCAGGTGTTGAATGCAAGGCAGGATGTAAAAGTTCCACATCATCATCTAATGACATACACAGGATCATGACCTTCAGTTCCATCTGGTAAAGCTCTGTGTTGTGGACTCAGCAATGCTTCATCTGTGATAAGGTACTGGCTTGAGTGCCCCGCTTCCCCTGAGGTATAGCCTTGCAAAGACTTCATTGAAGTTAATGGCTCAGCAGAAGGGGCAGAAGTTGAGTGTTGAGCAACTCTTCCAACATTGGGAGGCTATAAGGAAAAAAAGAAGAAGAAAAAAATCATACATAGACATCCATAAGATGGTGATGTCAAATAATACTACATCTAGATATATACTCTACAACAGGGGTGTCAAACTCCAGTCCTCAAGGGCCGCTGTCCTGCAGTTTTTAGATGTGCCACAGGTACAAAACACTGGAATGAAATGGCTTAAAGACCTCCTCCTTGTGTAGATCAGTTCTCCAGAGCCTTAATTATTCTATTCAGCTGTGGTGCAGCAGAGGTACATCTAGAAGTTGCAGGACACCAGCCCTTGAGGACTGGAGTTTGATACCTGTGCTCTACACCTTTTAACAGTTTTGCTTAGATATTACCTGTTCAAAGAGATCATTTTGGTCCTCGGATGAATGCTCCAACTCCTTTGTGCACAAATAAAGCCGTACCATTTTCGATTTAAATTGTTCATATAGTTCTGAAAGAGTACTGTCTAGAGGTACAGCTTGTCTTTTAAAGTCACACATGCTAAGTGTGAAGTCCATAATGGAGCCCTTTGATGATAGTCCACCAGGAAAAAACAACTCTTTTGCAGTGGTCATGACTTCTGACACAGTGGTGGTTTTCTCCATTTCAAGGTGTCTGGTTCCACCTCCACATTTAGACCTAACTTGGTGAAAATCCCCGCTTTGAAAGTGCAGCCATCCCACTTCAATTCTGCGTTTTGATTTCACCGCGTTGCTGTTTTTAGGCTTTGCCATCAAGCCAGAATTTCCTACAGATGTTTGCTGGGGTACTTCGACATGTCTTTTGCTCATCATCCGCCTTGTTTCAATTGTTTGCCTAATTCTGTTTAAAATGCCCTCCTTGTCAAAGTTAGCTTCCATTCGTCGACAAAATGATGCAATAGCCAATCGGTCGCCATATGAAGGAATGTATCTTGAAAATTCTTTGTCCGTCATCACACAAATTACCCCTCTATCAATCTGCAATTAGATGTGAAAATGTACAGATTACAAGTACTTTTAAGTAAATACTGTGCAATACTTTTATATCACATCATATACGATTGTATAATGTTTTGCAACATGCTGTATTGCAGGGGTGGGCAATCTTGATCCTCGAGGGCCGGTGTCCTGCAGCTCTTAGCCGTCTCCCTGGTCCAAAACACTTCATGAAACAGCTGAATCACTTCCCAAGTGCAGTCAGGTTCTCCAGAGTCCTGCTAATGACCTCATTATTTGACTCAGGTGTGTTGAGGTAGAGATGCAGCTAAAAGTTGCAGGACATCGCCCCTCAAGGTCTGGAGTATTATATAGTCATTATACTTGGAAATTGGAGTAATGGTCAGTAGAAAAGAATTTTCCTTTCAGGACAACAATCTTAAAGTTAACTTAAATTACTACCCAATGACCAAACATAGTTTTTGTACAAAAGTATCTAGACTTATAATTAAACAAGGTGTAGTCTTACTATAAACTTTAACTGAATGTGTCATCACCTTATCCACTTTCATCCGATTTATGTCATCTTCTGTAACATGCCTTGAACGAAGGAAGGCTTCAAGATCCTCCTCCATGCCTATATACAATAATTTGGAAAATGTAAAACAAGTCCATAAGTACATATTTTCAAATCAAAGCTTTCAAAATACATAATGTACGCAATTAATAAAACTACAAGTGTCATGATGGGTATCAGGGAGGCCCAATATGCAGAACACTGACGACACGGATGGAAAGTTTAACAGAGTTTATTTGCAAGTTCACACATATAATAAAGACTGATGCAATGGTTCTTGGCTGGGACCGGTTCACTGGCGTCTGTGAGAGAGACAGTTTGGTTAGCGAAGGCTTCGCAGAGACTTGACTTGATTGTGTTCAGATTTGTACCTTGATGAATGTAGATGAGGCTTTGGGAGCGGAACTGTTGGGTCCGGAGAAAGCTTGGTTTGGCAGAGTCCTTAAGCTGTTTCAGCGTCTTACTTCTAAAGGCTGGTTTGACCTTGGCTTGTGTTTCCAGCTCGGAAACCTGAGCTGCTAGGAAATCCAGAGAGTGAGTCTTCAGGTTTGGCTCGGAGGGCAGGCTCGGCAGGTTAAGCTCTTCCAGAGCTTCACAGGAGGAAAAAACAGGAAACCTGGAAGCAGAGACAAAAAGGTTAGAATCCAGGTTGGACTCAAAGGAAACTTGGTTCACTAGGGATCTACGGCTTAAGTGCTAACCAACTGATTAAGACACTGCGGCGTCGAGGCAAGGTCTGAAGGCAGCTTAAGTAGTCCAGGTCCTCCAGATGATATCATCAGCTGCAGGTGTGCAGAGCAGCTCAGCAGGGAGGATCCAGGGCGGACTCTGCTGGAGAAAAGGTGTATTTCTCCAGCTCCCAACAACAAGAGTTTAAACTCATAAGTATTTCAATGTCACTTTTCTGCCAGGCACCATAAATTACATAAGCTGCAGCGTGTGTGTAAGCAGCTAAAAGAGATAGAGAAAAAGACAGAATGTACAACAGAAGGGACACAGAAGGGATTTTTTTTTCATTCCTTTCACTGTCTGATGGTGTTGACAAAAACTTTCAACGCTATTTCAATTAAGTTGAAAAATATATAAAACTGATTTTTAATTCAACTTACTGATACAATTATAATTGTTTATTTGGATACTTATACTCAATTGTCATAATATATTATTTAGTATTCCTTTAATTACTTTAGACCAGGGGTGTTCAAGTCCATTTCTTGAGACCTATCATCCTGCAACTTTTAGAAGCACCCTAACTCCAACAGACCAGGGTCAGCTCTAAACGGGACTGGTAAGGAGCCACTCATCTGATTTAGGTATGTTGGAGCAGGGATGCATCGGAAAATTGCAGGATGGTAGATCTCAAGGACTGGACTTCAGCACCCCTGCTTTAGACTATTATTCTACTCCAGGTCAAGGGCTTTTACAGACACCTACTACATAGTTTAAAATAAAAAGTATTCAGCAAACACCATGAAAACATATATTGTTGTGCTGACATTGCCCAGGTTAGTTTTAGTATTTGAAGAAATTATATTTTGTCTATATTTTATTGAAATTCTGTGCTTTATCCAGAGGACATGTTTTGTCTCTCTTCTCAAGAATCACTGATATCCATCTATCAATCTATCTATATATAGACCTATATATAGATATATAGATCGTGTGGTGCCGAAAAGGTAGACATGGGTGTGTATATATACATTAATGTTCCTTGTAATTGTATCTGGTATCATATTTCCCAGGTGGCTGTAATCATATATGCCATGAATGTGCAATTTATCAGTTGTTGTCTAAGCAACCGTGACATAACCGTGACCTGAAGGCATAACCAGTCCGTAGCAGGTCCCGCCACGAAAGTTTTGCTGGCTTTGATAATTCTCATGTTTCAGCATCATTTAACTGCCAAATAAAGAACGATTCTGTATTTTTAAAGATGGTGTCAGTCCTAGCCCTGCCATAAATCCCAGTACGTTCTATATATAACAGTGACACCGCTAAACTAGTGGCGTAGCGGAATGAAGTAAACTTTAGCCTGATTAAGTTGTATAGTCTAGTTATTGTCATTAAAAAATGGTCGTCAACAAAATAATTTAGTTATCATCATCGTTAACGAAATTAATCTTGCATCCCCCGCCTCATCACTCTTTCTTTAAGCAAGCGAACGGATGTCTGAGCTACCTTTTCTTCCAACGGACACGATTCATATTTGACATAGTTGTCATAAATGAAGCTAAAGATACATACATATTACCAAGCATACAGTATTTATGGTGAATTAATATTATTTACCTGTTTCGTGGGAGTGTCTTCAGTGCTGCTCCAAAATGAACCGCTGGCCCAATGTGAGGGAGGGAGGGACTGTAAAGGCGCCGGAATCCAAAAACTTTTGCGAGGTAACGCAAAAACTTTTGCGAGGGAACGCAAAAGGTTTTGCGAGGGAACGCAAAAGTATTGCGAGGTAACGCAAAAGTATTGCGAGGTAACGCAAAAGTATTGCAAGGTAACGCAAAAGTTTTGCGAGGTAACGCAAAAGAAAAAAAATTCCCCATGTCCCCTAGGGGGCTCCGTACAGAACACCTTCTCCCTCTTCTCTACTATACACAGTGACCACCAGCCAGGCTGTCCAGGAAAAGACTGGCTGGATGGTCAGGAAGGCTTCCAAATCTCCTTATGGCTGCCTACTTAAAGGAGACAAGTTTATTCTAGTATCTGACAGGAAAAATGAAAAACCAATATTACAGACAAGAGACCTGAATATCAGAGAACGCATTATTTAAATTTTTTTATTTTGAGAGTTATTTTTAATATTAAGGCATGATAAAAAATAAAAAAATCTCCCTTCCAGATCTTTCCTTGATGATGGGAAGACATAAACGCAGCAATACACAATATGTTAGTGACCGGCTAAAAAATGGAAAGGCAATTATAGAGGAAGAACATGACAGGCTTGTCAGCTTGATGGCTCAGAGTGAATTCTGTTTGTCCTCCGAGATAATTCACAATGAGTCACACCTGGTTGGACTTCTAAAGAAGAAGTAAGAGACAGCTTACTCTGCTCACTTTGACCTGCGTTTTAAGAAAGACTTTTGTACAAAATAAACAGACGTTAAGAAAGGATAACATGCATGCCAACGGAACAAAATGTATCACTTGAATCTAAAGAATAAATTGTTAATACGATCATAGCCCAGATAAATAAGAGATGCATTGAAAAATAAACACTAATAAATAGCTAAGTTCATATATATAAATAGTTTAAAAAAGGGTAGATCCATTGTTGGTGGGTTTATTTAAAGTGTTCATGTTGAAATTGTAGTTACAATGTGTTTAAACATCCGTTAACACGAATTGAGAATTTTTTAAAAGACCCGCCCTCTCCATTTTTAAAAAAAATGCACATGCGCAACTTTGTACCAGTTCCCGACAGGAAAAGCCTAATTATTAAATGAGTGGGAGAGTATGCAGGAGACCATTTCTCCTCATGCACTCTCTGTTTAAAAGTTGCTGCTAGCATCACTCCAACAAGCTCACTTTCCAAAAGAAGATTTGTATTTTTTCCACTATGTCAGACTCACTACCAGTAAGATAGCTACCCGGGGATGAGCATGTAGGACGGCCTTACGTAGACGCTAATGATTGACAGTTACGAGGACCACTTATTTTAATGATCCACCCGGAAAAATTCAAAATAGACCTTTACCAAAAAACAATCAAATGTATTCTAAATTATCGCATCAGTACAGTATATTTATATGAATGCCAACAACAAAAAAAACTGTATAAAAACAAAACATAATTTCATGTACAGTTTTACCTTTTGCACATAAAGCCTTGAGGGTGTCGCAAATCTAAAAAAAATAATGTACCAGTTTAATAATGGAGAAGCTATTAGTCAGCTTTAAAAATGTTAATACATAAAAACGATTTTTTTCTCAGAATCTGTTTATCTAAAAGCAACTTAACAAACTAACAAATTAACAAAAACCTAAAAAATGTAGACTACATTGTATTATTTTCCATGTGAATCCCTGATTGTTTATTATTCTTAGCCTTTTCAAATAAGTGCTTTAAACCAGTCCTACCTGTCTTTATCCATGCTGGGTCAGATCCTAACATAAATAGGAGGCAGAGAGTCAGGGCAGCAGAATAAAGCATTAGCCTCACTGCATGCAGTTAGCCAAGCAATTTTTGATGTTCAGCCGATCAGGTCTAAACGATTTCACCTCCAGCTTCTCTTTGTAAGTTTGCTTGCCTTCCGCGATTCAGTCTGTCAATTATCAGCACTTCAACTGTGAAGACAGTTCCTGTCACCACAGGGCGTAGCTTTGGTGCACCCAGAGCTCTCCTATACATCTGTACTGCAGAGGAGCTACTGGACATGCACAACTTTTAACGACTCAATGAGCAAACATTTCTGCGCCCTAAGGCAGAAATACATCACCA